GTTATGTAGCCAATAGGTTAAACAATGTGTATATGTTTATAATAGTAGATGCAATTCTGTTATATTGTCACTGCATATAGATAATATTTTGATAGCTAGTAATGATATTGATATGATTAACCATACCAAATCATGGCTAAGTTCCCATTCTAAGATGAAAGATATGTGATAAGCCTCATATGTATTGGGCATTAAGATAACAAGAGATAGAAATTCGAGACTTCTATGTTTATCTCAAGAAAATTATTTAGAAAGTATTTTGAAGAGATGTAAAATAAAAATTGAAAGTCCATAGATACACCCGTTTGTAAAGGCTTGAAATTGTTAAAGAAAAATGTATCCATTAAATGATAGTGACAAAACTGAAATGGAAAGAATTCCATATGCTCAAGCTGTAAGATGCATAAATTATGTCATGTTGTGTACAAGACCTGATTTGAGTCATGCATATGATCTTGTAAGTAGATTCAGAGTAATCATGGGATGACTTATTGGCAAAGTCGTAAAAAGGATACTCTGATATATTCAGAAAACTAAAAATAACAAGTTGTGCTTCCCTGCTTACAACGTAAAGGTTACTGGGTACTCTGATGCAGACTTTGCAAGAGACCCAACTAATTGAAAATCAATCTCAGGATTTGTATTTCTCTTTGGAGGTAGATGTGTTTTTTAGTCTAGCAAGAAACAAAGTTGTGTAGCTCGGTATACTATGGAAGCAGAGTATATTGCTTGTAGCATTGCTACAACTTATACCGTGTCGATGAAATGTTTCATAAATGATTTGTAGATGGATATAGCCGACATACCTGTTAAAATTTTTTATGATAATCAGGCTACTATTTCTTCAATTAGAAATAGAGCTTATAGTTCTAAGGGTAAACACATTGAAATTGATTATCATTATATTTATCATATTATTGGAAAGAATGAAATGACTGTAAGTTATTTGCCATCTTTAGATATAATTGTAGACCCATTAACAAAGGAATTGAGTTCATGAATATTATCAAAGTATGTAGATTTGATGGGACTAAAAAATATCTAAGTTAGGAACTCCCAAATGGGATATTTTTTCTTTGATATCTTAGTCATGAGAGGAAAAGCCACATTAGAGTGAGAAACCCCATGACATGACTGTGGATAATTTTTTTATGTTATGAGATGCATAACCACATTAGCAAGAAAAGCTTCATGACAAAAATATGCTCATAAGTATTAAACTCACTAAGCGGCATAGACTTTTTTGCACTGCATTTTTTTTAACCAAAACCAAAATATTTATGATTCTATAACTTACCTTATTGTTTAGCCATCCGTATTTTTTACCCAATTTTTTCCTCTGACTTTTTTATATGAAACTGATTTATTACCGATGTTTTGGTATGTCAATATTTTATTATTCCCCAACTTGCTAACTATGATTACAATAACACATAGCATGTAGAGATTTGACGCCACTATGTGTGAGGTGTCATTGAGAGGAAGAGGCAATCTTGTCATAATATCCCACTAATAGAATGGTGGCAAACCCCATAACTGAGCTTAATTAGGACCATAGTTAGCAAGTCAGGGATTGTCAATAAATCGGCTCATCATAAAATCGGAAACAAATTGTTTTTATTTTAAAAAGTCGGATGAAAAAATTGGATAAAAAATACGGATCCTCAAAATACTTCATATAAAGATATCATTAATATATTGAATTAAGCTCAAAATATCGGAGTAAAAAATATGATAAATTTATAATATTACAAATTTTGAAATTCTATAAAATAAAAATTATGTCAAAGCCATCAATAGCTAATTCACCTATAAGAACTTTACTAGACTAATATAATTAATTCCACTAATTTAGATGCCCCGTGACTCTCATGCAATCATTCAATATTAAATTCATAATTAACAAGTATATACCAAAAAATTGTACCATATATAAATCTACCCATTAAATACTTTAAGAAACATCACACCTACTTATTACATACCAAAAAGAAATATACTATATAAATTTATTTATTAAGTACTTTTACTATAGTATGATAACAAATGTACTATATAAATTTATTCATTAAATACTTAAACAACAAACCTTGACTGGTAAAAAAAACAAAAATTGTTTTCTGATTACAAGGATTTAACTAGGTGACTATGATCACTCTATAAATATGGTTACAGTTTTATAAATTTCTCTAATTGAAAAGAGGCTCGTAGAATTTTGGGTTTCACATGTCCCTGTTTACGGTTTAGGGAGAGGAGGAAGAAGGAAGAGAGGGAAGAAGATTACGGTTTAGAGAGAGGAGGAAGAAAGAATAGAAGAAAATAGGGCTGGGCTCATAGCCAGGGTTTATTGAGAGAGAAGAAGGAAGAAAGAAGACGTCATGGGCTTCACAAGCCTTAAGAAGAGGCCCAAACTGATTTTTAGATAGAGAAAAGGAAGATAGGATGCTGATTTGGGATAGTTTGAAGAGGGCTTTCCTCTCTGATTTGGGATATTGTTTGAGAGAAAGCCCTAACTATACTGATTTGTCAAGAGGCTTTAACTGATTTTTAGAGAGAGAAAAGGAAGTGCGTTTTCTATTTTGTTGGGGAAACACCAAGCAGAGCTGAAGGATTAGGTATGGGGAACTAATTCGATATGTAGAATTGCTTGCTCTTGTAAGTTTACAATTTACACTGTATTGTTTATCTTGGTTATCACATCGTCAAAAGCAAAATATTGATTATTTGGTCCTGTAGTCACACTCTCTGCTTCTCATTCATCAGTAAAAGACTATGTTTTAAGCTCTAATTTGTGCCATAAACAGTATTTTCATAAAAACAATTATCACAAATAATCACATAAATCTACATGTATATGATTTTCTTTACACAATGATTTACTATACAAAATGATTTGCTATAAACAGTATTTCATTTACTCAATGATTTTCCATATTAATACTGAAATCTGCATCTATTTGTTTAAGTTTAAAAAAAAAAAGGAAAAAAAATTCATACATTCAATCTGCAACTGTGGCTTTGAAGAACATAGTGGGGATGGAAATTTCTATTTTAGGTTTTTTATATTTGAAATAATATTTTTTTTTCAAAAGCATGAAAGTAGCAATTGCTGCAATACACAAAACAGGAAAAAAAAAAAACAATTATAAGTTAAAAAAGATGCTATTTTTTTGCCAGATTTATATCGTATTATGAAAAAAACATGTTTTAAACGTTTTTATGAAAACTATGCGATTTTTTCCTGACCTTTTTAAAAAGTCGCTCTTTAAAACTGTTTTCATGAAGTCATCGTTTAAAACTTTTGCTAAGGACCTAAGAGTCCCTAATTGGTTTTCTGCGGTATCTGACTGATTGAATAAATAAATGATAAATTGATAATGTATATACACATAATTTGGATGTACATTTACACTTGTGTGCTACGAAATATGGTGTTTGAAAGATAAAATGTCGGCAGGATTGGTTCGCTACTTACACAACATTAATTGCCTTCAATGTCAAGGACATTGAGGGATGAGATTCCATAGATGGGAATCAATATGATCTACATGACATCTCCCTAGATCACAGGACCTGCATTATAATGAGATGTGAACTTCCAGAATGGGGTGGGGTGAGGTGAGAACTCTCAAGCTCTCCATTGAGGCACGGGATCAATGCTGTGTAATCATCTTCATGGTTCTTATGATCAAAAGAGGCAATCTGAGGAGGTATCTTTGAACTCCGATGCACAAACGGATGCATTTAAAAGGGTAGATTAGATCTGAAAAAGGTATGTCACATCCATAGTAGAATGTCTTTTTCATGTTTTTGCAGTAATGGGACACTCACGGTCACCAACACCAATGACTATCTATTATTAAAACTACAATGGCATTCAATAGGTACAACCAGTGTTTACAAGAAAAGGCATGGATTGGAACAACCCAATTTGATCCTATAATTGTTTGGATTGGGACGGGTAATGGGGTGACCCATCCAGTTCCAGGGAGCCACAGACTTGCCCCATTCCCCGGTGTCATTATTTGATTTATTTTAATATTGTATCGATGCTAGCATCCGACTTGAACTTCCCAGTCCAAATTTATGAACCCTTTAATATTTCATATTGCAATCCAGGACCCACTCCCACTTTTTAAACCCCTGTTATAGCCTTTGAGCATATGATGGCGCTTCTTTATATGATGTTAAGGGCTTACTGACTAAGGGTGGAGAATCCCTAAAACTACACTAAGGACCAAATAACACTAATCAGAACCATATTTGGGGAAATAGCTTTTAGCAATTTGTAAGAAAGGATCATTCCAAACTGCAATGAGTCCACCCTAAACGACAGTAGTTATTGTGAAATCACGACAGAAGAGATATGGTAACTAATGAACTAATCAACTCCTGACCGGTTTCTTATTCTGGAGTAGTACCCTAGGGGAACCTTGGTTCGAGTTGTGTCCCGAACTTTCATTAGAAATGCTTTCAAACATGAAAATTTGAAATCCATCCATGGCGAGATGGAAGGCTCTCTCTCTCTCTCTCTATGCTTAATAATTCATACTCCGTGCTCTATGACAGTCGCATGTTAAGATGACTTACTCTTCAAAACAAGTTGTTTACTGGTTGTGACTATTACTTAGACATTATCAAAATGGCAAATTACATAACCCCTGTATGAAATTTGATATACATAGGCCCCTCAATACTTTTCATTCACTTCATTAACTTTGTTTCTATTTTCTTATACATTCAATCCCTGGACTAGTTTTGTAGGTTATTTTGAAAAAATACTCCTTTAAGTAAAAATAACTCTATCAGTAAATAAACTGTCCATCGCATGAACTAAAATTGTCCTTAATCTACCCCCTTTTCTTTATATTGCATATCACACTATGATTTAGTAGTTTTGGTTAAGTTATTCCGTATAATGAAGCTAATTTCTAGTTTGTTGCATCTCTCAAGAGGGAAGCGTTGAGATTGGAAATGATTGGGGAAGAAGAGGACGGATCACGCATGCTAAAAGCAGCATGGGAAAGGTTACACAAAGAGCGCAAAGATGAGGAGGCCTACCAATTGGAAATGCTCTTAGTTGAGTTACTTATTTACCAAGTATGTTTCTCACCCCATTCCAATGAACATATTTCGAAAATCGGAAGACTAAGTAACCATTTATTTTCAAAAGGACCTAGTCCCCCCAAGGAATTTTGGTTGGATTTAACCGGTTAGCAAGTGATGTATGAACATATTTCGAAAATCGGAAGACAAAGTAACCATTTATTTTCAAAAAGAACTAGTCCCCCCAAGGAATTTTGGTTGGATTTAACCGGTTAGCAAGGGATGTTGGAGACACTGCATTTCAAGTTTGATTTCGATCCCAAAAAATAGAACTACTCCCCCATGTTGGCAATACTCTATATAGATTTATACGCCAAGGGACACGCTCTTAAGGTAGAATAAATTTTTATTTTCCTTGGCCGTCCTATGTGAAACCTGAAACCTTATGTTGTTTGATTCGAAATTTTATTTGGACCTAACTGATCAAACTCAACTGTAAGGGCCAAAAATGATTGTGACATAGGCAAACTAAAATCAATGGTCCTAATAAGAATTACAATTTTGCACTGGATTTGAATTATCTCCAATAACATTTATTTTGAAGGGAAGATACAAAGAAGCATTAGCCCACGACTGCCTTAACGGCGAGATGATATCAGATCCCCGCCGTCCACTGTACAAGGTAATTTCTTAGATTACCCTTGAATCTGAGCGTGCTAGCATAACAACTATTCTGTTGCTTAGAAATTTTGAGCAACTCCTTTTTGTCGTTTTACTTTTTTTTGTCTTTAATCCTTCAAACATGAACATATTCCACTTGCTTGTTTCTTTGGACAACAAGAGAACCCCCTGATTTATCAATTTAGGGTGGCCAATAATGCTTTCAATTGTTGGCACAGTTATCTTTGTGAAAAGGCACAGTTATTTTTAAGAGTTCTGTAAACCCAAAAACACACACATTAATTTCACAAAGATTTATTTCTTCGTAATTCAAATTGCATGTAGAAGCTAACTATTTAACATTTTACACGTGTTTTGATAAGTTTCAAAGCCATTTTGATGTGTCATTTGGCAGGCAATTTGAAACTTGATGCAAAACTCCTGATAGGTGGTTCCAAATTAGATAAACAAATATGGGCAAGATGTTAAATATGCTAATAATTCAAACCTTGAATTGCATTTTGATAATTTTTCCGTTTCTTTTTCATAATGTGATCCTTCTCCTTTTCTTCTTAATGTAATGATATTTCTTCTTTCAACTGTTTCACTCTCTAGCTGAACTAGGCTGATTCTTCGTTATTTCCAAGCAATCGTAGTTGTTAACTTTGCAAGTTGTTTACATCAAGAGACTAATGCTAGTCTTACCTTAGGCTGCCATCCACAGTATTCTTGGAGATCAGGAGCTTGCCAAGAATTCCTGGGAAGAGTTCAAACGGATGCAAGATAAGGAAATGGAATTCCAACAATTTACTGAAATTGTGGAATCTCTAAAAAAAGAGATTGCACATGCTAAGGGAAGGGATTTTTAGTGAGGAAAACTAACCAAACTATCTCACATTGAAGAAGCCCGGGGAGCCAAAAAATAGTATCTTATACCACCAAATCAGTTGGGAAACAAAGACATGATTAAAGAGCACTACCAAGGAAGGAAACTCTTGAAACTGATTTCAAGGTGCAATTTAAGAATGAAATCCATCTATATCTATGTCCTTGTCTTTATTATAAAGTGTTCTAGGCATATTTCTTGTATTTAAAAGAAATCCTCAGTCCATAAGTTTATATGTTTGTATTCGAAACTTCTTGTGTCCTATCTTTAAGACTCAAACTTCTATCAAGCTAGATAATCTCAAACAATTGTCGTCCAAATTTCCTGCAATTTGTAGGCTTGAAAACCAAAAACCGAACACTAATAGAGAATGATGAGGCATCTCACACGCTCAAGGGCTTGTCAATGCATTTTCATTTGATATTTCTCGTCCTCCCTTTATGAATTTGATGAAGATGTACCAGGGTGTAATCAGAGTTATATCCAGAGAAGGGTCAAAAGTTTGGTGGGAAGCATACTGTGTTATTTGGTGCAGCACGGGTACTAGACCTTGACACACACTGCGTACTGGTTTGCCCAAACATGCTCAATGCGAGGAAGAAAATGATGTTAGAAGAGAATGGCTTGAGAGGAGAAGCATGGCTATATTATTGGAAGTAGGGAGGAAGAAGGCTTTCTTGTGAAATTGTACTTACGTACACAAAAGCGACCAAATTGACACAATTTCTTCACTCTTTAAGTACAAATACATAGTACATGGATATATAAACCTTTGAGGACTTTCTAGACACTTTTTAGACCTTTCTAGTGAAGTTTTCCCTCTCTAATCATATAACTCATGCATTTCAACGAATTTACAAGAAAACACAAGAAAATTTTGGACTTCACGCATTCCAAATCCAGATTTGCATAGATTTGCATGCCATACATGCTTTGGACTCCTCTCTCTCAATCTTGGAATTGTGAGCTTGGATCACCGCAGAAATTTTAGTACATAATTCTAAAATTGCCCTTCCTTAGATTGTATTTAAATGCCCAAAATAACCTTAACCAAAATCAAGCTTATTCCTAAAATCCTCCCTTCTTGATTTTCCAACTTGGTCATCCCTAATATAAATTTCAATTTTTCAAACATTTCATGTTCGAGGGATTTTGTAAAAAAATCAGCAAGTTGATCTTGTGTCTTTGTGTAAACAATTTCAACCTCTCTCTTTAACTTGGTCTCGAATGAAATGGAACCGTGTGTCAATATATTTGCTACTTTTATGAAACACCATGTTCTTTGCCAATGTGATCATCGACTAATTATCTACATGGATTTTGGTGAGAGTCTCTTGAAGTTTTAGAATCTCTTTAAGAAGATTTTGTAGCCATAATGCATGACAAGTACTTGATGTGGCAGTTACGTACTCTACCTCATAAGTTGATAGTACCACAATTGGTTGCTTCTTTGATGACCATGTGAATGCTATACTTCTCATCTGGAAGATGTACCCAGAAGTGCTTTTTCTATCGTCCAAGTGTCTGGCCCAATCACTATCAAGTCTCTGGCTGAGTCACTATCAACAAAACTGACAAGATAAAAAATATTAAAAAATGAATAAAACAAACCATGATCAAATGTTCCTTTGATATACAGTAGAAATCCTTTTGTCACTCTCAAGTGAGAGGTATTTGGAGTGTCTATGTTCCAGCTAACCAAACCAAATCCATAGAGAATATCCGGTGTTGTACATGTTTGGTAACATATGCTTCCATGATACGTTTGGGAAAAGTAGGTTCAACCCTTTCTCCAGCACTTTCTTTCCTTAATTTTGGACCACACCCCACATGCGTAATTACCATATTATAATACTCCATTTAAAAGTTCTTGAGAATGACTTTTGCACAAGATTTTTTGTGACACAAAAATTCCATTATCAATTTGTTTAACTTTGATGCCAAGTAAATAAGACATGAATCCAATGTTGGTCTTCTCAAACTTCTTAATTATGAATTCTTTTAATTCTTTAAACATGCTTGGATCCGGTATAGATCAAGTTATCAATATAGAAACAAACAAGCAAAATATCTTTATTTTCATATTTTTTTAGGTACAAGGCATGTTTATATGGGCACCTAGAAAATTTACTTTAAAGAAAATATTTATCAATCCCACTATTCTAAGCCCTAGATGCTTGCTTTAATCAGTTCAAACCCTTTTTCAATTTGCAAACTTTAGTTTCTTGTCTTTTTTGTACATAACAACTTGGTTGTTCCACATACACATCTACTTCAAGAACACCATTTAAGAATGCCAATTTTTGCATCCATTTAAAAAATTTTGTATTTATTTTAGGCTACAAGAGAAATAATTAATCTAATGGTTTTCAAATAGACGATGGGGGCAAATACCTCATCATAGTCAATTATGAGTCTTTTCTTGTACCCTTTAGCAACTAACCTTGCTTGACACATTTTGATATCCTCATTAGTATTTCTCTATCTTGTAGATCCATTTCACACAAATGGCTTTGTGGCCCTTTGGGAGTGATGTAAGCTTCATGTTGCATTCCACTCAATTGCTTCAATCTCTTCATCAATGGCCTTTTTCCACACTTCACTTTTATGTGTTGCATAAAAACAAATAGGATAAAAATATGCAGAAAGACAAAGCAATGTGAATGGTCGGCCCTCGGTCTTTTTGGAAAATGAGATAAAACCACTTTCTTAAAACCACATATTCTTCCTTTTCTTGTGCATTTAGAAAGAGAGAAGAAAACATGTATCGTGCCCCCTTTAGAGTGTGTATGCATGTGCCGCACCAGGATAAGGGTTGGGCAATGCGGTGTATGCAGTTTGAACCAACAAAAGAATGATTCGAGGTAAGGCTTACCTCATGGTGGTAGGTCGGATACACTCGGAAAAGCTTGTCCATAGATCCCGGTGCCTTAGAGCGTCTGCAGAAAGGTAGGTTTGGAGTCAACCTTCACGGACGCTTGATGTGCGCACTTGGATGGTTCTTTAAGTTTGTCTTTTAGGCTTGAGAAAAGTGAGTGCTTGTATGAGAGGCTTGGTTGGTTTAGGGATGAGCCTAGATTAGTGGGTCAAGGTTTGATAAGTTAGGCTTAGTGGATCAAGGTTTAATGAGCTAAGCTTGGTTGAGGGTTAAAAAGGGTCTAGTTGAGGGTTTGAATGAGTTAGGTTGGGTTGAGGGTGAGTCTAGATTGGGTTGAGGGTTTGAATGAGTCTAGGTTGGGTTGAGGGTTTGAAATGATGGGCTAGACATGGTGAGTCAAGCTTTAGTACGTTAGACTTGGTTGAAAGCTAGGGATGGGTTTAGGTGAGATGGTCAAGGTTTGATGGAACCACTCAATAAAATCCACGAGCCTTTCGGCGTCACCTCCCCTAGAAGGCGATATCAGAGACTGGAAAAAGGTATTAGGCACTACGCCTAAGTACCTCGAAGGTGAGTCAGGGGTGATCATCGGATCTTACCCTGACATTTAACCCAAGAGCAAGTCTCCTTGTAGAGTGGGGGCTACGTAGGAATAGATAGGGGTATGAGACACTAAGTGTGAGAGTGGGATGCCTAGGAGAGAGGGGCGGCTATGAGAGAGTGGCATCTAGGATATGGTGAGAGAGGGGTGGCAATGAGAGAGGGGCATCTAGGGTGAGAGAGGGGCTACTAGGCTATAAGGTGAGAGAGGCACGGCTAGGTTAGAGAATGAGAGAGAGGAGCTGTTAGGATGTAAGGAGAGAGGGACAGCTAGGGTGTAGGGAGAAAGCAGCGACTAGAGGTATGGGGATCGGGGAGTAAGGAGTATGGGGTAGAGAGTAGGGAGTAGGGAATATGAAGTAGGAAGTAGGGAGTGTGGAGTAGGGAGTAGAGAGTAAGGTTGGTGTCATGTAGAGAGTATGGGAGTGGGGTATCTCTCCTATGTGTAAAGGTTTTTC